ATTTTTACTAGTAAAAATGTCTTTATAGATATCTACAACTGCATTTTTACTAGGGATAATTTAGATGTGGATATCCATATTTGCCATTCTTACTATCTGTTTATACAGAAATTAAATTTGCTGAGAATTTGGACAGTCTAGCCTCCAGTYCTTACCCTKTCCAAATGAGCAAAATATCTATATATTAGCATTATTAACATCACAAAACAACATAATTAACCTAAAGTCATTGTTTGAAGAACTAAGGGACTCACTATACGCACATGTCTGTTACGCTGTACCGACTCATTTGATTTCTGACAAGATTATTATTAAAAACTTGTCTAAACAAATTACAAAAGCATTAACAACACAACCGCTTGAAACTTAACATCTTAATTTATTTAAAACTGAATTCCTTTCTCTCATTTTGTCTGCCATTAATAGCAGAAAAAAATCTTTGGTTGGCTCGCAATGCATTATGGGATGGGCCGAGAAGGGTCCATCATCCAGAATGTTTATTTTAAATATCTGGAAGTAAAAGCCCAATACACATGAGTGGGAGAAGTGACATCATTTGTACTAGTTAGAATTATATTCTTCCTATCTAAAATGTTAATTTTAGATAAGAAGAATACTGCTTTAGATGTCTGGAATGTTCATTTTGGCTAGGAAGAAATGTATTTGAGATATCTAAAACATATATTCAGTCAAGCTAATAAATGTCAAAACGGCGACTTAAATTTGTGAAGATTTATAGATATCTGAAACTTTATTTTTAATGGTTCAATTTTGTTTTTTTGACATCCTGAAATTAAGTTTACAAAAATGTAATTGTGGAAATTTATAATTACAGTTCTGGCTAGTAGGAATGCAATTTTCACCAGGAAGAATCCTAGTTTAGTGATCTACAAATGGAACAACAGAGAGGAGCGCACTTTGAATAAATGTCAAAATGGCCTGCCAYACCAGCTCTGCCCTACCTCAGGTGCTGTCATCTTTGCGGTTGACAGTCTGCCTGTACACCCCCCACCCCACATTCCCCACGCATCTGATTAATATGGTTTTTTTTTCTAAAATTATGGATATTTGAGTTGAATATTCACTTGGAGAATGAGCGCYCGTTGCAACAGTGACTGGGAGAGTCAAAAATAAAAGGAGGGTGGTGCAAGCCTCACTGAATARGTTACTGCTGGATGGAAGMATTTTTACTAGATCCACAAAAGATTTTTGCTATTTGGTCCCTGGAAGAGGTTGTAAAACRAAGCAGGCTGGGCTCTTCTATCAGGGGAGGGCCCGCTTTCGTGCGAGATCGCACAATAAATGCTACCCTTCACCTGACGTCGGCTAAGTTTGCATAATCACGCACTCCCCATAACCTGATCAATTTCATTTCGGACTTAAAATGCATTTGAACATGTATTTACACATTTATTACTGGAAGAATAACTTCACATTTAAAATGTTACACATAAAAAACATTAATAATTCGGGTTTAGCTCCAGTATCAGCACATGTAGTTGCATTGTTTTATTTAACATCTTGCTAGGAACAGGCAGCCTTATAAGGCCAGAGAGCTGATCACCAGGAWCTTGTTGCAGGTATTGAGAACTGCCAACCAATCAGGGAGTCAGGAACAAACAGGTAACAGAACAAACACAAAATGCCTCGTCGACAAGTGACCAGCTGAGCTCCCAGGATGCTTCTGCATCGGTACTCACTGCCTCACCATCCRGGTAGAGTTAGCCGTGGGTTGGGCGGCTACAGGAGAGAGGAGTTTTTCTCGTTACGTTTGAACTTT